GCTCCCAAGCGGCGCACTGTAGCAGTGCGCCACCGGGCCGGCCCCAACCTCTTTTGTGAAAGCACGAATCCCACTCACGAGGGCAGAGACCTCATCACTTAATTACTTTCTGAAAGGCCTCACCTCTTAATGCTATCACATTGGGACCCCATAGCAAGTGGACCACAGAGGAACGGCACCAGAAGGGGAAGAGGCCATGTGAGCAGAGGGAGCAGGGATTTAATTGGTTTATAGAGAGGGGTCTTGTAGGTGAGACATGTGGCATGAAGCTGGAGAGGCAGCTTTGTGGGCCCCACTACTGAGTCTAGACTGGAGTCAGCAGAGAGCATCTTAAGGGGCTTGCTCTTCTGGTTATGATACATCCAACAAATTGAGTCAGGGGACACAGCGAGAAGCTAAGCCCCTAACTGCACAGTGGATGAGGAACAGAAAGGGAGGGGGAGCTGTAGGAAGCAGTATGGAGGAAGAAGCAGTGGAACTTAGTGACTGACCGTGACTGATTGGGGCAGGAAGGAGAGAGAGGAGGGAGGTCTGGGGAAGAGAAAGGCAGCACCGGAGGCCAAGACAGAGCCTGGACGAGAAGGCGAGCAGCTCCGAAATGATGAGTTTTAGACACGTGGAAGTTGAGGGGCCCGTGGGACCTCCGGGAAAAATGTCCAGCACGGAGAGTTAGAAATGGGGTACCAGGGCTTGGGAAAGAATTGAGGCTGGAGGTAGAATGTGGGAGTCCTTTGCCTAGAGGTTTGGTCAAAGACGTAAAACTGGATGTCTCCAAAGGAGGATTGTTGTAGTGAGAACAATCTGATTAGCGAGTGGCAGAAAGCTGCTCAGACTGGCTGAGATTAAAGGGGAGTAAGTGAGGGGGTATGAGTCTGGGAAGCTCACAGCGCCGACGGAAAGGCTGCATCTTTCTCCCATCTCTTTTCCAGCTGGTCTCATTTTTCCTGCAGGTGGACTCCACATAGTAGAGCCTGGATGCCGCCAACAGCCCCTAGATTCTCATCCTCTTGGCTTCCTCACACCAGGGTCCAGCCATCAGTGCCAGGGAAGGAGTCCAGTTGTCACTGCCTGGGGCACAAGCCCACTCCTTGGGCCAATCTCTGTCGCCAGAGCAACACCAGGCCTGGGTCACCTGTCCACTCCTGGGGTGGGTCTGCTACTGGGGGAAGCAGGTTGGTAAAG